GTTGTTTCAGAGTTGAGTGATTTTTAGTTTGCATAGTTAGACACTATTGCCAAGTAACATGGCCTTTTCTTTAAGGGTATTGGATCGGATCACATATTATTCTAAATATGGACTTGCATTATGAAATAAACACTTGCTTGATTTGGGTTTAGTTGATCTATTCTCTATGGAGTGAATATAAATGATTAATTATTGTCGTTATCTTTTTATATTGCGACCACGCACCTGCGGTCTTCGATTGGCGGACATCACTTTGCTCTCTAATGCGCATACATACACGCGCGCCTCGACATGGATATTATCTGTGTATATGTTTCTTCCCTGGATCACTCCTATGGCCTCCGCTACACTTATTCTTCATATGCGAGCTTCTCTTTGCTCTTCGCCGTCCCTCATTTAAAAATAATTGCTCTTGGAACTTCATTTTTCGCAATTTATCTAAGCAACCTCACATGATCGTCCCTGAAATTATGTCCTCTTTTCTGGAATATATCACTATTTTCTCATGCTTGATTGTCATCTATTCTTTACTTAATCTACTCATTGATTTTCTCTGAGGGGATTTACATACTTACTTTTAACCGGCTCTTGGTGGATCTTGTGAATTGCCATTGATGCTCTTTGGTATATGCACCATGGTGCCACATTCCGATGCATCCTGACCACATATCTGAATTCATTATATCTACCGACTGAGCTAGCTCACTCCACCAGGCTACCTGGCACCCGCATTGGAACTGGCTTTTGAACGGATTGAGACGCTATTTCCGGTGACACCAACTGTACGTAAACCGTCGCCTGGAGCTATACGGGACAGTACATCTTCGTCTGCACGCTTCACTGTCAGTCTAGGAGGCGGGCTGCCTCGGCTGCGAGTTTATTGGGCAGACACAGGCTGCAGTATCGAATCTAGTCTGCACCACCTCTTCCATTTTCTGCTTGACGAACCAGTGCATGGCTTCATCGGACCGGTTTGCGCTTTCCCACTGGCAGCTGTGGCTCGGATCACTGGAGCTCGATTTTCTCGCCCCCTCGTAACATACTCCGGCTTCGAAGTTGACTTTCTTGACAAGCGGCAATATGCTCTGATGACACGGATTGCTGGTCACCACGGTCAGCTTGCTGGGTTTCTGAGCACACTATTCAAAACTATTGGCTGGAAGCCGCGCCGTTTCAAAACAGTAGGTCTGATGCACGTCAGAGCCCGTGAGCCTGGCCCCGATTCGCATCGGCGTCCGGTCCCAAGCATGTACTCGGGCTCGGACTCAGGACCGAGCAAGACATCCAATTCAGGAGAGGATTCAAATCGGGAGCCAGCTTCTGACCAAGTGAATGACCTTGAATATGCGCAGAAGATTGCGTTGCAGGTTCCGCATTCACTGAAGCCTAGTATCTTGTCTCTAAAGAATAAGACTGTAGTTTCTGCCAAGCCTGACAGCGTTTCTGTTTCACCTCAACAACCTCTTTCAAAATTAGACATTGATAAAACCTTTGAAGGAAGAGAGGAAGATGGAAAGGAGAGGCTATATCGTCGCCGAGTGTTTCAAACGGAGAAAACTTCACCGCCTATAACAACAGGACAGACAGCAAGTACAATGAAGGATCAGCCGCCGGACACAAAAGTTCACTTCTTCGTTGCCAAGGCGATCTTACAATCACGCATGGATTTTGGAGTGGAGGGCGTGATCGTAGATCGGGACGATGCCGAAATCCAGGAGAAATTGCATCTGGTTTCGCTGACTAGCCGCAGTAAGTAGGCGTCCCTAGCAGTCCCAGCTATGCTCAATCCTGCTAACAGCCAAAACATTAGGCCTCTAAGATTCGAAAAAGAAGCATTGGTTTGCGTATTAGTTTGTCTGTATATTTGTGTATTTTGGTCTGTTATGCATGAGTGTGCGACTTATAAGGAAATGATATTCTCCACTTTTACTTCTCGCCGTC